CATTTAATTAAATGAACAAATAAATGAATATATGCTTGATTATACAAATAATTATTCAAATAAAATATCATTAGATCAAGAAGAAACATATAATATTCAACGTTATCGTTTAACAATTGTTCAATTAACGATGTTACAACAACAAATTCAAGAATATAAATTAATAATTAATGATCATTTAAATGATCAAGAACAACGACCATCATATGCTAAACATCATCTATTAAAAATAAAACAAAATTTTGATATATTAGAAAATAAAATTGAAACAATTTTACAAACAGAAAATGAAAAAAATTTTCTTGAACAATCAATTAATGATCAATTTAAAAATTTAAAATTATTATTAAATAAAATTGAACAAGAACAAAAATTAATTGAATCAAATATTTTAAATGAAAATTTTTTTCAAATAAAATTTGAACAATATGAAAAAATATCAAATAATTTATGGATTCAAATTGAACAATGTAAAGATGAATTACAAAAATCTATTGAACAATATAATATTAAAAATCATGATAATTTAAAACAACGTGAATTTTTAAAATTAAAACAAGATATTGATCAAATGCGAGAAATAAAAGAACAAAAATTAAATTATCTAAAAGATGGTCTAAAATATTATAATTATTTACGTGATAAAACGGCAATATTAACTCAACAAATCAATGATTGTGATAAACAAATGAATAGATTAGCAATAAATAGAAGTATGATCAAAGAAAGTGATATTGTTCAGACATTACAGGTACAGTAAAATGCAAGAAATAAATACATTTGAACAAGAAAAAGAAATATATATATATTTATTCGTTTTTAGACCGTTCGAACAGTGTTGAAAGAAACGGAGCCTATGTACGATGAAATATATACATTATCACGAGATATCGAAGAAAAATATTTAATATCCGATAATGGAACATTAAAAGAATTAAATCATAAAATGCAACATGTCTCAGGTCTAGTTCAGGTATTTATCATAAAAATTTAGTTCTTAATATTTTTCTCTTGTCAAAAAAAATAATATAGTCGATTTTTGAGATAGTCTAAAGTCTTATGTACTACTTTCCGATAGATTTTTCTTCTTAGACGATAGGTTTTGAAATATTCAAACTTGTTTTGCGTTTTTCTCACTAGATCACTTTTATGAAGAGTAGATGATATTGTCACCTCTTTGATTTTTCCATTCTATGTCACAAAGTTGATGTTGATCTTAAAATGAACAGAAGATCTGTGACTATGACTTAACAGAGGCGAATTTTTAATTTTTGTCTTAGTTTTCGAGAAAAATGAAGATTTCCGTCCGATAAATGAGCAAAGCGTTTTTTTTATCTTCAACTTTTGATATAAAATTTTTGGAAAAAAACAAAATTTTGAAAAGTTTGACTCTTACAAGTATCCGCGTCATTTTCAGAACAATCCGAGTCTTGTGGCACTTGAGATAAAAGGGAGAAATCAACTTTTTCATCGCTATTTTTGAGATAATTCTGGGAAAACTCAAGTTTTTCTAATCTAATCTAGGTGAAACTAACCTTTTTTTAAAATTTAGTCAGAATTCTGTGTCTTCTATCGAGAATAGATATCTGTTAGAGGACAACACTTCATTTTTCAATAAATTTTATTTTATTTTTTTCTTTAATGTAAAGGACAATGTTAAATACTTAAGTGAAATTCAAGATGAAAAACAAAAACGTGATCATTTACTCGAACAATTAACAACATGGATGGAAAATAAACAAATCAGATTTAATCAATTGAATGACAGAAATTATGATGAAAATACAATAATAGAAAGAATGAATCGAATAGAAGTAAGAACTAATTTATGTTTATTTTGTGTTTGTTTGTTATTTTTAATTCAGTTACTCTCATTGTTATTTATTATTGTTTATTTTTAGTTTGAATTAAATACTATAAAAGAGGGTTATTCGATATTAAAAAATGTTCAAAATATTCAAGAACATTTACGAGGAATATTGGATGAAAATGATGTACAGACCATTGATGAACTCATTGGACAATGTCAGCAACAATTACATCTGATAGAAAAGTAAGATAATTTAATTTAAGGGTACTCTTTATCACCCTTTTTTAACCATCTTGCACAATGTGGGATCCATTAGACTAGACTTCTCAGCAAAAGTAAACAAACGGTTTACTATTTCTTGAAAAAATCCACTATCGATACCGTTGATTCTAAATTTTATTGGCGGGAAAAATATTCGAAAAACACTGAAAACCGTATATAAAACGTTAAGATTTACAATAGAAAAATTTAGATATTTTAGCTGTCATATTTCATTCAACAAGATTAAAAAAGAGGGATGAAAATATACTTAATACTATTTTATTTGACTGTATAATTTTATATTTCTATTAATATTTTAGTTCTCATATTGACACACTCAAATCAATGAAACAAATTCAAACTAGTTGGAGTAAATTAACAGATTCATGTACAGAAGCACAACAATCACTTGAGAATAATCGACTATTATTCGAAAAAATTTCTAATAAACAAAGTGTAACACCAGAAAATATACAAAAACAATTACAAATATTAGAGGTAAGTAAAAAAATATTTTAAAATTCAACAATGATAAATTATTCATTTTATTTACTAATTGTTTTTTTAGTCATTAAAATATGATCTCGATGATTCAACACAAATGTTTGATTCTCTAAAAACTATGGCTGAAACATTACATCATAATCAAATTTTAGAAAAAGCAAATGAAATGATATTGATAAAAAATAATTTAGCTCATAATATTCAGGTATATTTGTTTATATTATATAAAATTAATTTTATCTTTTATAAATAATCTAAATTATTGTAAATTTTAATTTTCTATAAATTATTGTAAATTTTAATTTTCTTAGAACGATAGTAAACAACGACAAGAAATGTTAACACAATATAATCATTTTATTGAACAATTTAATCAAACACAATCAGCAGCCATTCAATTATTAAATGAACAAAATGAACAATTTTCAAAACAAACATTAATTCAAGATCCAATTATCAAATGGGAGGTAAATATTAAAAATAATCACATAAAATACAATAATAAAAAGATTATTTTACTTTATTTTTTATTATTTCTAGAAATTTAAACAATCATCATCAACAATGAGAACATCGTATGAAAATGTACACGAATTAGGAACAAAATTAATAAATGAATATTTTAATTTTAAAAATATTTGTCGTTCGATTTCATCAACACTTGATATTGGAGAAAAAAATCGAAAATCATTTGAAACATCATTAAATAATACTGAAGTATAAATATTAACTCTTTCTTTATCATAATAAAAAATATATTTTTTTAATATTATTCATTTATATAGAAAATTTATACGAGTGCTATTGAAGAACATCATCGACGTCAAACACATATTGAAAATTTTGACAAACAAATTAGTATATTTGAAAATACTTTTCAAAATTTTGATCATATACAAAATTTACAAGAATTAGATCAATCATTTAATGTAAAAAGAACAGAAGACTTCAATTTTGATACATTCATTTTATTATTTTTTTATTTTTAGACAATAATGGAGAATATTGATAATATTCAATCAAAAATACAATATTTACTTGATCAATCTAAAAATGATAGTGATTTTATTAATTTAAAATCACGTTTAAATTCTTTAAAGATAAATGTAAATAGTTTTTCGTCTTCTTCTCTATTGTATCATCTTATTATTGATTAATATTCATTTTGACAATTTTTTTCTTTGTTTTTACAAGATTCAACATCAAATGGAACATATTCGACCCATTTTAATTGAAAAAGAAGCAAAACAAATTATTATCGAATCATCATCAGATTGGCTTAATAAAATAAATAAAAATTTAATTGTATACAAAACAGAACCTGTTTCAATTCAATATGATTTAATGACAAGTCGTCTAACAGTAAAATAAATATTTTTAATTTATTTATATATATTTTTATTTTATTTATGTCATATAACTCGTTTTATCTAGGATATTTCTCGTGAAATTCAAATTAAACTTGATCAATTAAAAACAATTACCAATGATGACAATGATTTAATTGAACATTTTAAAAATGTCGACAAAGATATTGAGTTGATTTTAAAAGAAAGAGAAAAAGTTGAGTATAATTCATTGTTATAACATGTTGTTTAAACTTCTTTCTTTCTAACTTCAGACACAAACAAAAGTAGTAGCACTCGACAAAAATGTCACTAGTATTGATCAAGAAGTTGAAAAATTAAGACTCGAAATAGATCAAAAATCTTATGATACAAATATTTCAATGGATCAACGATTACTCGAAATAGAGGTAAATATTAAATCTTGTTTAATATTACGTATTATCATTTAAAATTTATCTATGTATCTAGACATTAAATAATAATTTAAGAAATAAACAAATGAATCTAAGTGAATGTAAAGAATTGTTAAACAATATTCAAAATAGTATAAGTGATATTGATAAAAATGAATATTTTGGTCATATACGGTAAACTTAGTCTTATTTATTAATTTTATTCTTTAATTTAATCTTTTTATATTTCTTCTTTGTTATTTTTAGTTCAGTTGAACGACACATAGATGAAATTCAACAACGTCATAAACTGAATGATACAAAATTAAAACAAAATCAAATAGTATTCAATGAATTACTAATGAATTTAAAAACCATTCATAAAAATTCTTCTGATTATAAACATGCATTAAATGAAATTAATGATATGAACATAAATGAACTCAATTCATTTGATGTAAGTGTATCGTTTCTTTTTGTTTGTTTATTCGACCTCTTATTTATTGGAAACGAAGTGTTGATGAAACTAATTCGATATAACCAAACTGTTTATTATGTACGGGTGTGTGCTTGAACAAGATTCCACCAAAAGACTGATTTCTTCTTCTAGTTTGTACAAAATTTTTTTCGAAACAAAAAAACAAAAACTTACGTTTTCTTGCACTCAAAATATTTTCATTACGCCTATCGTCAGCCCATTGGACTTAATAGGCAAGAGGAGAATATTAATCCTAGTGCACACACACACACACACATATTTTTTACCACCTTCTTATTGTCTACTCGTAATAATAATAACTTCTTTTTATTTTGCAGCAACAGCAGCAGCATCTACTTTTTTATTTAACTACTTTGTCACGCGTTTTGTTGTGTTATTATTATTTTTTTCAATTTCATGTTTTTACGATTTTTGTGTGTGTACTCGGTTGAGTGTTCTCTGTTTTTAGAATAACTCCAAAAGAGTGTTATTTTATTATTGGCAAATGGCTTGTATGTAACTGTACATTTACACTGATATTTAAAATTAATTCATTTTAATGCTATAAGAGTAGTGTGTGAGTTTATATAACATCTATGCACAATCATATTCAAATTATTAATTGCATGCACAACACCTGCTTTATTGTAATCACAAGAAAAATTATATTGAGCGGAAGGCGATTGAAATTAATAATGATATGAACTTTTATAACTTGATTATGAAAAAATGATCTATGCTCATTATTTTTATATTTAAAAAAAAAAATCAAAAAATATCTGGTATATTGATTTTTAATCTATTTAGACGCTTAGTCGAGAATTTCAAGGTGAAGAAAATCATTTAAATACACTTACAACAAAATTACGGACAATTACGTCTGATTTAAGTGTTCAAGAACGACAACAAGCAGAATTAGAAATTAATAAAATTGTGGTAAGAATTTAATTGATTAAAAAAATGAATTGTGTTATTGATATTGATAAATTATATTTTCAGAATGAATTAGATCAATTACGACAACAAACAGAAAAACGAAAAGAACGTTTAAATATGTTAATTCAACAACGACAAGAATTTGATACAGCATCAAATCGTTTAACAATGTGGATAGATGATAGATTACGTGTAATTACAACTGAACAAACGATACCATTCAAATCAAGTGAAATTGAACGTTTACATAAAAAACATTTGGTAAAATACGTTTATTTAAAGCTTGATTTTATAAAAAAGAAGAATAACATATCTTTTTTTTTTAGGATATAATCAATGAAATAAAATTTCAACGCATCACGTTAGATAATATGATGAAATTGAGTGAAGAAATTAAGAATGGTTATTCTCATGAAGGACAAAATGAAATTGATCTTCATATGAATGACATTGTTCGAAAACTCAATCATCTTGATGAAACAATTAATGATCGTGATCGTTTATTGAATGATGCTAATGAACAACGACGTGAATTTGATCGTTTAACACAAATATTGACTGATTGGATAAAAACAATTGAATATCAAGTAAAAGAACCAATAACAAATGATTTACAAACACAACATACAATTAAGGAAAAATTAAAAATTATTAATGTATGTTTTGATTATTATATCAATTTTGATTATTTTATCATTATTATAAATTATTTTTGTTTTTTTTAGAATCTTCTTCAAAATACGACTGATCGTACGAAAGAGTTTGACGATTTGTTACGAGTCAAACATACAGTCGTATCAACATTAAGTGAACCGGATAAATTGATATTAAATGAAAAATATACGTTAATAAAAGAAAAATATACTCGGTAAGAGAATGAATATTAATTGAAATTAACAATACATTCGTTATTGTTATTCTATTATATCTAGATTATCCGAGAATTTAGCTGTGCGTTTGACGGCACTCGATGAGGCGAGTCGAGAACGTGCTGAATTTGAACTACAATTTGATCAAATTCAACAATTAAATACACAATTACATAATGAATTACAAAATTTACAACAATCATCAAAAATTATAGATGGTAGTCAAATAATAGAGAGTCCTCGAGGAAGACTAAGTCAAATGCCAATTGAAATGCGTCTTGAACGTTTAAAAATGTTGAGTGAAAAAGTTGATGAGGCAAATAATCATATTCGAGAATTAAGTCGTACACAACGTTTATTAACTAGTAAAGGGCATCGTCTTGAACGAATTGGTAGTAGTGGTGGAAATATTGGTGAAATAAATTCAAATTTAAAAACAATTGAATTACAATTGCATAATGAAATTGAACGAATGGAACGTGCTGTTCAAGCAGAAAATGATCTACATGAAATTGAAAAAGAACTTGATGTCTATATGAATACATGTGCTGAACAATTGAAATCGAGTCAATATCATCCAGAAAAATCAACTATTTATCAAGTAGGAGAATAAAAGTTTAATAAGAAACAATTTTTTATCATATTTATCTAGTTAATAAATTCTCTCTCTTCTTTTCTAGACTGTTTCCGATCGTTTAATACAAGCTGAACATGGATTTGAAAAATTGTTAACACTTTCTGAACGTCTTTCACACGATATACCAACTGAACAATTTGATGTAATTCAACATTCTATTCAACGACGTCAAGAGCGTTTACAAACATTGATTAAATCGTGTTCACAATCGAAATTAGACCATGAACAAATGTTAAAAACACAACATAAACTACATGAAGAGTTATTTTCATTGCACGATTGGTTAAAACGTTTAACAAACGATTTGTCGTATCCAATTGAACTGAATTTATCATTGAATAGTGTTAATGATGCACAAGATGTTGTCACTGTATGTTCAATTAAAAATTATTTAATTATTTAAAAAAATACTAAATTTTTGTTTAGCAATTAACGTCGTCTATTGATCAACGGCTAGCACATTTAGAACAACTACTTCATGATGAATCATCATTATTAACTAGTAATAAAGGAGAAGTTTATACTCAACAAACTCGAGAACGTTTAGAAGAGCTTGAACAAACAAAACAACAAATTCAGGTGAGTATTTGTATGCGTCATACTCTTCTGCTATGTTTAAATAAAATCTTATTCAAATTTTAGAGTTTGTTAAACCAACGACGTCATACCTTAGAAGATATTCATCAGCGTATGAGTCAATTTCTCAAAGTTGTAAATGATGTTAAAACAACTATCAGGTAGATTCATCAAATTTCTGTCATAAACATCAGACATAATTTAAACTTTTTTTAGTGATGCTGATTTTAAATTAGCACCATTTTTTGATGGATACGATCGTACTCGTTTAGATTTACATGAACAAGAATTAGAAGTAAGTATCTCTATACATGTGACACATTTACTTTTAGTACATGTATTTATTTGTTTTAAAGACATTGGAACAAACTTGTACTCAACAAACGTATAGACTCAATGAAGCAGTTAAACTGTCAGATTCATTACGACCACATTTAAGAAATAATGCACGCGATTTATGCGATACTCAAATTCGAAATCATCATCAAATTATCGAAGATTTAGGTATATTAAGAGTTATAATCATCTTGCCAATAATGACACATCATCATAACTTGTTTCTAGAGATTCGCATACGTCAAAGACGAAAAGAACTAAACGATATTCGACAAAAATCTGAACGATTTAATATGAGTATCGTGCATTTACAATCCGATACTACTCGTCTATTAACTATGATTGAAAAAGCACCGGATGTAAATACCTTTCTACATCACTCTAATGAACTTGTTCATTATTTTTCTATCTGTTACAGGGTGCTGAGAGTTTAGTATCAGAAATTGATACCACATTCTCTGCATTACAATATCTTGGACGTGATTTAAAAAAGTCCTTGGATCTTTCAAGCTCGTCAGATATCGATCGTGAATTAAAAGATGTTGCAAGTTCAGTTGAAACAGTTCGAGATAGTTTAGATCGTGCTAAACGAACATATGAGGTAAGTAGTTTGATGGATTTGCACAACAGGAGAGCATATCAAATGAATTTATTCTGCATTTTATATTAGGAGAATGAAGCATTACGTGAAAGAATTGAACGAATATTAAACAAAGCAAAATTATTTGCTAATAGAAAACGACAAGAATTACAACAAAGTACGGATAGTGGTTACGTTAGTGTGGATTTAATGAGACGATCGGTGGAAATAAAGGTAGGACTAATTCGTTTAATATATGATGGACACCATCTGTGAATTTCTTGTTAAATCATTCTCGTCTTTTTTGTTTCAAGAGTTTCATAAAAGACGTTGATATAGAAACATCTGGCTTATCTGAGTTATCCGATTTGATTGTCACATTGTCTGAACGAAAGTATGATTCACAAATTGTACGTTCACTCGAGAAAAAGCATGAGGATGCATTACATGATCTAAAACTGTATGTATTTAATTTTTATCTATTTCTCTCTTGTCTGATTGGAAACGATTTTTAGATTACGAATGGAAACAATAAAAACTGTTGAAAATATTGATCAACAAACTCAAGAACAGGAAAAATTACGACAAAACGCACGATCAATTCTCTCGTTGTTGCAACGTGCAAAAGTAAACCTTATTGAATTGAGACCAACAATAAATGATGAAGCTAATCAAAAATTAAAGGTAATGTCAACATGTCTTCTGTGTATATTGATTATAATGATGTTTTTTTCATGATTTAGAAAGTTGATAATGATTTAACAACGACTCTAGATGAATTTCAAATTGCATGGGAAAATTATCGTCATGAGTACGAATATGTATCAGATGATCTAGAGAAATTAGTATCACGTGTGGGAGAAGATATGAACGATGTCAAGGTAAAGTATGCCAAAAGAACTACTATTTAGTGAAAAATTATATCTTCTTTGTAATCAATCATTTAGACTCGTTATACGGAAAAAGAAGCTGAATTAAATTCGTATCGTACATTAAACAATGAATATGAAATATGTGTTGAAAAAATACTTGTTATTATGCGTTTAATTGAAAATAAAACAAAAAATCCATCAACAAATGTAAAAGAAAGTTTACACATTTTAAAGGTAACTATTCAACATATTAATGTTATTTATCAGTAAATTATTATTCTACATTCTTGTGAAGGAATTGGAAGTAGAAATGCAAGGATATCGTCCAATGATCGATCGTTTACAATTATTGTCATCAACATTAAGTTCCCAATTAACAGATCCAAATGAACGTGATCGCATTCGAAAACGTTTGAATGAAATAACAAGAAAATGGTCTGAATTAGAACAAGAAATTTTAACTGAAGAAGAAGATATGCAAGAAATGAAAAATATTACGGAGCAATATACAGTAGGTATCTTATTATTATCACTAACAGAAATGTCTAACAAAGTATAATACATTTTAACAGGAAGTTAATGATATTTGTGATAGTTGGCTTCGTCAAGCGCGTACAATAAATGATGAATTAGTGAATGCACATAGTATGGAAACATTTGATAATTTGATACCGAAAGCTAAAACTACTATTTTCGAATATCAATCATGTATTGAACATTTACAACGATTAAGAAATCGATTAAATCGTCTTGTACAAACAAATCGAACACCAGAAGCAACAAAAAAAGTACAATTTCAAAAATAGTAATAATTCAGTGTTAATTTATCTTTTTTTTTTATTATTATTATTTTCAGTTAGCTGATCTTGAAAGTTTACTAAAAGATTTATCAAATATTCGTGAAAATGTTGAACAATCTATTGAATCTAGTCAAAAAACTCATTATCAAATGAATGAATTTGAAAAACAATGTTTATTTTATAAACAATGGCTGGATAATATCGATCGACAATTACAAAACATGGATCAATTATTAACTATTGAAAAAATACATCGATGTAACGATATTCATGTCGAATTAGAGAAACGAAAACAAATAATTGCAAATCTGTTACATGAATATCCTCATATATCACATATCAAACAGTCAAGTACAAATGTTCAACATTTATTAATTAATATTGAACGACTTAAAACGAGAGTGATTAACCAGCAGCAGGTATAAACTTTTTGTTTAATATGTTATGTATGTATACGACTATATTTATGTATTTGGCTTTAGGAATGTGAAAAACAAAATCGACAACAACAAGAATTTCGAATACAAATCGATAATCTAGTCGAATGGTTAAAACAAATTCATCGATATGAACCACTAACTGACAAACGTGATGTTGAATCATTAGAACGAGAATTAACAAGTCTAGATGAAAAATATATACAAATTGAAAAAAATTGTCATGAAATCGATACTTTACTACGAAATATAAACAAGTGTGTATTGGATACATAAAAAATAATAACCTATTAAAAATATTTTTATCCGATTTTAGTTCTGGTTTACCAGCTGAATCAATTCAAAAACTTCGACAAGAAAGTGATCAGGTTAAAGAACGATATTTGGGATCATTAACAGAGTTAGAAACTAAAAAGAACTTTTTAAAAAAATCTTTAAAAGTAAGTTTCATGTTACTAGTATGTTTTGTATATGGGATAACTGTATGACATCTATTTGCTTATAGGATGTTGATCAACAAAATAGAACATATCGCGATTATCAAGATTCACTTGATAAACTATCAACATTAGTTAGAAATGATCAAACACCATTGAAAGTAATGAGGATTAGAAATCTCTAAAATATATTTAATTTTGTTGATTTGAGATAGAATTAACCCATTTTTTTGTTTATATTTAGACTGTTGAAGAAGCGTTGCAATCTCTAGATGAACAAATGATCAAATTTGAACATCAAAATGAAGAAAAAGAAAGACAAAAACGTCAAAAAGAACGTGAATGGCATTTATATTTGGATGAAATAAGTTTATTACAAGATAAATTAACAACATTGAAACAACGAAAACCAAATATTCATGATTCAATCGAAGATCAATTACATTTTATTCGAGTATGTTAAATTTTTATTTTTAAAATTTTATAAAAATAAAATGTTTTTCATATCTAATTTTAGATACAAGAACAAGAATTAGATCAATATCATGTAGAACTTTTGCATTTAAAACAAAATGGTCAAAAATTAATTATTGACAATGTAAAAATGCCATTACCATCAGAAATAAATCTTTTACATTCGATGATACAATTTTTAAAAGAACAATTTGAACAACATCGTGATCACATTATACGAGCTGATAAAAATCGTGAATTATATTTAACAGAAATGAAACTTTACGATGATTTATTGTTAATATCAATTGAACGTTTGGGACGTGGTATACAAGGAATAAATAGTGAAACATATTCAAAATCATTGCATGATCATATAGAATATTTTGCAAATATGGAGAGTAAACGACATAATCTTAATATTCTCTATGAAAGCTTAGATCGAGATACGAGACAACGTTATTCAAAAACTCATCATCAAGATCTTGATAGAAAATCAAATGATATACAAGTTTGTATCATAAAAAAATCACTTTTAAATTAACTTTTTAATGTTGTTATTATTATTTTTTTGTTTTATTTTAGGATAAGAGTCGTACGCTAACAATTCGTTCTGAACAAATATTAAAAAATTGGCGTGAATACGAAAATCGTTTAGAAGAAATTAAACAAATTCTATCAGCAATAAATCATCAGATACCATCAATAAAACGCAATATTCCATTTGATCAAATACAACATACATTTCTTATTTACAAGGTATTTATTAATCATTAAATTCTAAAAATTCATTATTTAATTAATAGAAATCATTTTTTATTTGTTTGTTTTAGGAATTAAAACAACGTCTTTGTCATGTTGAATCAGAAATTTTACATTTGAATGATGACATTAATCAATTATGTAGTGAAATAAATGCGACAACCTTACAATCGGAATTTCAATATGTCAGAGATCAATTTGTGCAATTAACAAATGATATTAGAAAAAAATTTGATATGTATGTGAAATTGTGATGGTTGATATGATGATTCACCACCATCTTTCTTGTTTTTCACTATACTATTTTTCTGTACCTTTTTTTATCTAGTCACAAAAGTGCAATAAATCTGGCAAATGATTTGAAGCGACATTTATCGACATTAGAAGAAACATTAATTCATTGTGTAACAGATATGAAAATACTACATGATGGCAATTCAAAAGATATTAATATTCTTAAACAACAATTAAATAAATTATTAGTAAGTAATGAGATATACTCTTGTTTATCTGACTAGTTACAAAAAAATTATAAATTTTTATTGTAGGATGTTCAAAAACGATTAGATAATCATGATGATTACCGATTACAAGCGTCAGATTTAATTCAACGATTATCAGTATACAACATGTACGATCTTGATCCATTACACACATCATTGGAAAACATAAATCACAAATGGAATATATTAAAGGTAACCTTATTTAAAATATTTACATGAATATGTGATCAATATCAGTAGTTTGAAGTGTACATAGAGATAAATCTTACGATATTTCATATCGAAATGACATATGTTGATGATTTACACGTTAGATTTATGTTTAGTTGATAAATCAGAGTTCCTTTCCTCATTCGTCATCTACGAAATCGATATATTATGGAAAATGTTCCATCGATGGGTTTTCATTCAAAGAGAAGTAGGAAAAGATGACTACTTTAAACGAAACAAAAAAAAAGTATAGATCTAAGTGAAATTCACAAATTTTGCTACTATTCTTTGTCTTTTTGGCTTTCATTTGACGAAAAAACACTAAAAAAAGTTTAAAAATCTGTAACTTTTTTTGTTTTATAAAAAAGATTTGAAAATGTGTAGACATTCTCATAAGTGAAAAGATCGATAGCATAACCCGAAGTGATTTGGAACAACTTTTTGGGATCTTAAATCGGTTCGATTCGTTTCGGACACTGATAGATGATCACTAATATTTCTGCAATTGAAAGACAGTAGTAGATCAGACCTAAGAATGATAAAAAAAGTTTATTTTCTCATTTTAATCTAATCACTCTTTAAAAGAAAATATTTTCCAATATCTTCCTTTATTGTAGTCTGATGTCATTCGTGCTGAAACTAATATACAACAGAGTTTAATAAATAACTTACCATCTCTTCAAGCGTCTAAAGAAATGTTATTATTTACCGATACAATGAAACGATATTTGGATGAAGATCATGGTGCATTGATTGCAAATCAAGAAACCGTTCAGAAACTTTTAAAACGATATCGTGTAAGCTTCTTCTATAGAACAATTATAGAGTTTATTGTACCTTGAGTTTATTTTTCATTATTTTTATTATAGGATATGCGTGTTGATGTAGTAAATCGACAATTGACAATTGATTTTCTAAATGAATCATTTCAACGAGAAGCGAATGCTGATTTAACGGGAATTGAACATATAGATCAAATTAAACAAATCAATATTGACTGGATTAAAATAAAATCACTTATTTCAGCTAGAATAGATGTATAACTTTATCCAATTCATTTTTCTTCTATTTAATAAAGTTTTTGTTTTCATCTGTTTTAGACATTGGAACATTTGAATAAACAATTCAATGAATTTGATCAAACTGTTCGAACATTGGCCGACTGGGTACAAGAGCAAACAATTGATCTTGATTTTATGAAAAATAGAAAATTTGAATCGGGTTTGAAAGATAATTTACGTAAATGTGATGTAGGTTATTTTATTATCTGTTAATTAAAAAGAGAAGATAATTTTTTGTGAACTTTTTTTATTTTTCTCTCATTTAGGAATTAGAATATCAATTGACAACAAAACAACAAGTATTATCATCATTAAAAAATTATACAGATCGTATGAGTAGTCATTATTCATCTAGTTTTCGTATTATTGATCAAGATGGTAGAATTAGTAATTTAAAACAAATGCTCGATCATTTAACACCATCTATTGATAGTTTAAAATCAAAATCAAAACATATTCTAAATGATTGGCAAGAATATAATCGTCTATTATTAAATATTGAAAAAGTTTTAAGAGAAGCTGAATTAGAAATTGAACATGTTGAAATGAGTGCAATGAATGTAGATACATACGAAATGTGTACAAGAAAAGCACAGGTATGTATTTTTATTTTTTCATTTTATTCTACTCTAGTGAATGTACTTGAGACCAAGTATTTGGCTGCTTGTCCACATAACGCGACACTTCGCTGATAAAGGTTTTTCTGAATTTTTTTCATCGAAAAATTGATAGGGGCACATCACTTTTCATGCTGATCACGAATATGACATTTTTTCTGAAGAAAAAATTAATTTTCAATATAAAAATTTGAATTTGAATTTTCTGACCTAAACATTTTGTTCAAAAAATTTTAAAAACATATACCATTGAATAGAGAATTCAGTTCTCTACAAAATGGCTCATTTTGTTTTGAGATCTATTTTTCAGTCGAGACACAGTAGCTGCGTGGACGTTTCAACTTCTGCCTTAGTCTGAAAGCCTCACCGAATTTTTTGAACTTTATTTTCAACTGGAATCTTTTCAGAAAACCTAGAACTACATAGACTACAAGTATGAAGTTTTTTGAACTACGTTTAGTGCCTAAAAATGGTGCGACAAAAAAGTGTGTCACAGCGTTACTTTAGTAAATTGGATTTTATAAACAAAGTAAAAGTCTTTAACCAAAAACCTTTGTTTTTATATTGAAAGTAGAGTAAGAAGAGCCGCGTCGAATGGCGCAAAAGCGAACTTTCTAGTGTAACAAGTAACTTGGTAAGTACTTCGAAGTTCTTCCAAGTACTTATCACGTATTAAATCTAAAAGTGCTTGACAAGTACTTAACCAAGTACTTTAGCAACTAAGTACTTGATCAGAGCCGTTTTAAGAAATTTGTGGCCCCTGTGCTGATCATTACAATTTTCAACACATCAATTTGTATTTTTTTTAATAATAACAAAATGCAAGGCTTAAGCCGTTCTATTGGGCCCCTGAGTCAGCCGGGCCCCTGTGCTATAACACAATTAGCACATAGGATAAGAAGGCACTGTACTTGATCTCAAGTACATGCACTAGGATACGGATTTTCTAAAAGTTTTTATCATTTCTTTTTTGGTTTGTTTTTTTAAAGGAACATTTACAAGTGATGACATTGCAAAAAAGTGATCTAGATGAAATAAATCAACAGAGTCATCAATTATCATCTCAATGTGATAGTAGTACATCGACAAAAATAAACGATATAACACATCGTATCAATAAAAAATGGAAAGATATTGATATGAGACTACAACAATTAATAAATCCATCAAAAGATATTGTCAATGAATGGCGAAAATTTAATTCATCTTATATTGAATTACTTGATCGTCTAGGTGAATTAGAAGCAAGATGGTATTCAATTCAACGAGAAAAATTTACATCTGAAACAGAAACATTATTAGAAAAAGCAAAAGTAAGATTAAACAAATTTATCATTCAAATATGATTTCTTTCTTTCTCTTTTTTCCTAAAGGATTTTCAATCTCGTTTACAACAAATTGATATTGATGTTTTACAATTAAATGAACGTTCACAAAATTTATGTCAACATTTACCACAAATAGCCTCTAAAAAAATTCATACTCAATATATTGTTATTAAAAATCAATATGATGAATTAAAAATATATCGTGATAAATTATTAATTGATTTTAATCATATTAAACAACGTGATGAAATATTTACTGCTCATTTAAGTGAAATAGTATCAACAATTCAATTTGTTCAAACACAATTAAAACAACATAATTATGATAAAGAAAATACAGATGATTATTTAAAAGAATTAAATGAATTAGATCAACGTTTAATATCACAAAATAATTTAATACAACGTTTAAATTCATCTGAATTTATTTTATATACATTACATGCTAAACGTTTAAGAGAAATAACAATTGAATTTTATCATTTAAAAGAATTATTAAAAACAAAAATTAAACAAAATGAATTATTTTTATATGATAAATTAAATTTTTCAAAACGTTGTGAAAAATGGAATGATTATATTAAAGCAATTGAAATAAATTTAAATATGATAACAAATAATATGAAAACAAATTATCATGGTCTATTAGAAATTGATCATAATTTAAATCAAATATTAAATGATTTTAATATAAGACAAACAGAATTAATACAATTATTAAATGAAGGTAAAAAATTAATTGAACATAATTTAATTGAAAATAAAAAAATATATTTTGAACAAATATTATCTAAATTAGAACAACGTTGGCAACATATTATTAATATTGTTAATGAAAAACAATTATTTATTAAAGAATTAATTAAAAAATGGATGTTATATCAAAATTTAATTGAACAATATTATCATTTATTAAAACAAAAATATGATCAAACAATAATATTATCAGTAAAACAAACAAAAATAACAATAAATCAAATAAAACAAGGAAATTTTTCAACATTAAAAAATAATGATGAATTAAAACATTTTCTTGAACGTATTTATGATGTTAATAGACAATTAATTACACATTCCGATTTAAATACAGTGACTCTGTTAGAAACAGAATGGACAGATTTAGAAAAGTCAGCCAATGTGTATCCTGTACGACGATTGTAAATAATCGGATAATGTTACCTTATCCGTATTTGAATTTTGTGACTAAAAATAAATTTGACAAAAGAACGGACATCATATGTT